TCGGTCAGTTAAGCATCTGCCTTCAGCTCAGGTCATGATCCCAGGGTTCTGGAATGGAGCCCTGCAGGGGAGTCTGTTTCTCCTGCTTCTCCTTCTACCACTCCCCCTGCTTGCATTCCCGCTCTCAGTCAAATAGATAAAATCTTAAAAACAAAAAATAAAAATTTATGCTCAATTACCCACATCAATGTTTTCAAAGTCACAAATGTATGCCTAAAAGACACTAATTTATGTTCAGAATGACCTTATCATAATATTAAATTACCATAATATTCTGGTATTGCTTTTTAGTTTCTCTTTTTTTCCTTCCAATACGTGTGGGCTTGGAGGAAGTTTCCCTTCCAGGTCATTCTACTAGTAGCTTTATATCATAAGTAGGTTCCCTTGAAGCAGTATAAAAACGGCTAAAGGTCGTCTGTGTGTATGTGTAAATAACCTACAGACTAGGAGACGGATACATACAGAAAGATTTTTTGAAACGATTACTGTCAGGGAACCAGACAGCCTTTCACAACACCACATATACTGAGCCCAGGTGATAAGAACAGCGGTCTGAGAACCAACATCTGTTCTCAAAGCACAGTGGTTTCCAGGAAGCCTGGAGAACCAAGAGGCAGGTGATTGGTGCCTGCTTTTATTAACCCCTACCTTCACGTGTATTTAGTATGGACACGGTCACTGCACGGCTGATCACCCCATTCAGATCATAAAAGGAAACTTTTTTTTTTTTAAAGATTTTATTTATTTATTTGACAGAGAGAGATCACAAGCAGGAAGAGAAGCAGGCAGAGAGAGAGGAGGAAGCAGGCTCCCTGCTGAGCAGAGAGCCCGATGCAGGGCTTTATCCCAGGACCCTGAGATCATGACCTGAGCCGAAGGCAGCGGCTTAACCCACTGAGCCACCCAGGCGCCCCAGAAACTCTTTCTTGATAGCAAATTTACCACTTAGTAACCCAAGGGGAAGTGGTGGTAAGGCATCTGGGTAACTGACTCCCAAAGGGACTAATCTGCTGGGGAAGTTGGAGGGGGTGTGGTGGGGCACTACTCTTTGTACTCAGCGGGGGGCCTACAGCTTGCCTCTGAGAGGAGAGGCGGGTGGTGGTGGGATTTAGCCGTGCAAAGTGTCCAGAGGAGACCCTGGGGGTCAGCCTGTGGCTTGCGGAGGGGTCCCCACGGGTGTGGTCTGGTGAAAGCAACCTGGGTTATTGTACAGGCCGACCTCTAAATTTTAGGGGCCAGAGACAACAAAACCCATGGAGGCTCCCCAAATATTTGCTGGCATTGATGGTGAATCAGGAACATAAGGGAAAAAGTTAAGGGCAGGTTGCAATTTTCACTCAACCCTCCTGTCCCGGCCTGATGATGGTACCGATCTGGTAAATGTGTAGATGTGCAGTCACGGTTCTTGACCTTTCACACGACTTACAGGACCAGTCATTAGAAAACCCAGATTTGACACTCTTCGTCAGTAGGTCCGATGCTAAGGATGTAGAAGGGAAGTTACACACAGGAATGCTGCAGTAACTCAGTATGAACTACCAGAAAGGGGAATCTTCCCTGTTTTAAGTCTGTAACGAGCAGAGTGACATGCCCTTACTCGTTAGCTACCCAAAGATACCACCAGCACATATGTCTTTGGGGTGGTCTCTCACTTTGCTCCATGATGGAAACCGAGAGTTCTTTACTTCTGGAAAACTGGACTCGGGAGTAGATGAACTGCTCGCTGCCATTCTATTGTCTGACTGAATTGGATGATTAAAAACGAAGTTCATATTGGAAAACAGAACCCAAGTAATCAGGGAAATGCTCTAGTGGACTTCCATGCTAAATCAGCCAATATACAACTTGAGTGAACTCCTAAGATTGATTCTAGCCAAATTATTTATGATAATCTATATAAAAGACAAAATCAGGCATCCAAGCTGGAGCGACAAATGTTGAAACCAAGTGTGCAAATTTAATATTAGACGAGGATACACTGAGGGCCCGGATGGCCTCCTGGTTCTTCCCGAGTCCTTAAAAATATCATTACTAGATGTGCTACATTCTGCAACCCATCATGGCACAGAAAAAAATGACCTAAATTATGAAAAAGCTTTAGTGGGTGACTGTACCAAGGCTGCAAAATTGGTTTGTGACCAATGTCTGATTGATCAAACCCCTAACCCAGGAAGACCATTAAGATGGCCCATTAGATGGAACCTTCCTACTGCCTATAGGGCCATTTGAACACTTACAAATGGAATTCATTCTATTGCTCCCACAATGGGTTATCAATATGTCCTTGTCATTGTATTTTCTCAGGACGGACTGACATCTTGCACAAGGGCTGATGTCACAACCATGGCCAAGAAACTCTTAGAAAAGATAATTTTCTTCATGGGGTATCCCCAGAGAGACCTCCAGTGATGGGGAGCTCATTTTGCTGGGCAAATAATTAAACAAATAGGGTGCTGCTGACGCAATGGCATTACTACTGTCCTTACCATCTTCAGTCATCCAGTAAAGTCGAATGAACAGATGATAACTTAAAACTAAAGCTAGCTGAATTACCAGAATCGACTGGACCGCCCTGGGCAAAAGTTCCACCTTCAGTTTTGATGGCAATGAGATCAACACTTACGGGAAAGCACAAATTAACATCTCATGAAATAGTTAATAGGAAGACCTATGCCTTTGATGATAGGACCATGTGTGTCTCCATACTCATAAATTGGTATGACTCAGTACTGTAAAGTTTTAATGGATTATGCCACGGTGTCTTTCTACCAGGTGAAGGAAGCTTTTCATGACCCTCCTGCAGATGGTTGAAACTCCCACAGCTTTAGACCCTGGAGAATGGGTCTTTTGACCTAAGAAAGAACCTGCCCTTGAACCTCATTAGAAAGAATCCTACTGTGTTCTCCTCACTATCCAGACGGCAGCCAAACTTCAGAAACTTGAACCCTGGGTCCACAGCTTGTAGTTGAAAGGGCTCCTCCAGATTCTCGGAACTATACACCAGCCAGAGGTGTGAGGTTGCCACTGAGCACAGAGGTCCTCCCGCAGAAGCATACAGCTCTCCCAGGATCATAGATCCAAATATTCATCTCCAGTATGAAACCTTTATCCCTTTTGCCCATTTGCTATCGCCCTTTCTGTTACTGTATGGGAATACTGTAATTAGGACTTCACAAACAATAGCTACCGTAGGAAACTACACTAATTGCTGGATTCATCAGGCTAAGCCGAAATCAGGACCTGAAGGGAATCCTGAAGGCCTCGGCGTGCCTAAATTGTTCTGCAGGTGCGTTTTTATAAAGTTAACGCCATAAGACTACATAGGCTTGTTTCTTGCCTCAATGTAACCCGATCCTGGACTCGGAAAACAGGATTCAGATGCTGCAGGGCAGCCAGCGTCCATCAGACCATTTGTAGGCTTGCTGGTGGGCCCATACGTTTGGGAGGCCTTTCAACGTGGACAGTACGCTAGGTGAGTCTTGGATAAAGGCTGCCAACACCTCCATGACTGGCAATGGGTCTATGATGCTAACACCCGAAGGCACCCCATATATACCTCTTGGCTACACCTTCACAGGCAGGGGTTTGGGTAGTGACCTCTACGCTTGGGCAACTTGTCCTGACAGCTGGAGGGTGAAAGGACAATGTGCCCTTGCTGTAGTTACTGTTCCACTGTCCCTTCACAATACCTTGGAAACGCGATAGCGTTCCATTCCCCTGAATTTACCAGAAAGAAGTTGACCCCTGTGCATGCACGTCATTTGGAAGGTCCCTTCTTCCCTGGCTTGGGGTTGTTAAAAATGAACATACTTTTAGACACTGACTCTTAACCCTGACAACCCCTGCTGAGTCTAAAGGCCACGGCTGCACAACACAAGTCCCTAGGCTCTGTCGTGGCAGTGGTCTGAGATAAAGAACTGCTTCAGGTTACTTGTTGGCTGAATGAGGGGGAGTCTGTGCCAGGGCAAATACCTCTGGCTGTTCCTAGATCAAGACCTTTGGTTTTGTAGAAACGCCAACACAAGAAATTAACAAACAAGCTCCTTGGACGCAGGTTGATCCCTCATCTGCTCTGTCCTCTGATTTATTTGATACTGGCTGGTTTGGGTCATGGCGGGGGTGGGGGATGGGGCAGGGCAGGGCAGGAGGACACTGCAGTGTCACGGTATTTTCCACCTAATAGGATCACGACCCAACTGGTGGGCCATGTTCTCTCAATGCTCTCGCAGGCTTGTAGCCACCAGCACGTGACGGTCGCACGGCGCTCGAAGAAACAGAAGCAAGCTGAACGATGGGAAAAACAGCGACAGCCACTCTTTCACGGATCTGACACCACAACCCAGGAGTTTCACAATGGGACAAGAGCAGTTTAACTCTGATGGTGACTGAGAGTGGCACAGCTACAAAAGTCTTGGGCAATCTCTCACGTACGGGAGGATGACCAAAGGGGGAGATTGTTAAATTAATTAAAAAGGAGGCCATCAGTTTGAGGTGGCTTCTAACGTCACAGCACCCACATAAGCAAACCACAATGGAAGCCCACATGTAAATTCTCACGGTCACAAGAGTGAACCTACGGACAAGCCGTCCAAATAGCCAGAGAGGTTTCAGACTACAGCCAGGGGCTAAGTTCCTCACTTTGCCTTCGCCTTTTCTCTATAAAAGTTCTTCCCCAGCTCCCGTGGCCGGAGGCCTTCCAGCCACTTTTGCTTTGGTGCTGCTCTACTGGAGCCGATTTTCGTTCAAGTAAATACCTAAAACTTTCATATGCCTCACTTTTATCTATTAACACATGTGTGGTAATTCCTGAAGCAGTTTTCGCAGTGCTTATCGAAGGTGGCAGACAGCAAACCCTGCCAACTTGGGGCTTTTGTATGCCGAATTTCCCAGGGGCTTTTGTATGCAGACTTTCCCAAAGAGCCTGGATCGCCAGCCGTGGGGGCTGTGGGTCGTCTGGGGAAACAGGCAACATGCTTACGGAGGGACACAGAGAAGCAGAGTGCCATTGTTTTGATTTATTGCATTCTGAAGTACCGTGGGGGAGGGCCTGAGAACAAGTCCGCTTTATCAGCAGTTCTAAAGCCTTATTACCTGAGATTTACATTCTGGAGGAAAAAAATTGAGACTGAATTTTTAATACATACACCATATCCGAGACTGGGATTTTGGCTCTGATAGAAGTACTTGCACTAGCCTGAAAAAGGCTATGTGAGATTAGAGAGAGACACCAGCTACACACCGAATCCGGGTAAAAGGCGTGGATTTAACCAGAAAGCCACATACGTTAGCCAAACACCTCCCTCCGGGGCTTGTCAGGGACACTTGACGCGTGCAGGCCACTCGAGGCAGCGTCTTCCCTGGGACTCGCCGCCAGCCCCAGCATTCCCGGGAAGGCCCGGCCGGGGGTCGCATTTCTCTGCCCCTCTCTGCTTCCCTTCACTTCTCATCATCCCGCCCGTAGTTAATGGTCTGTAAGGCCTGAGCTATGAGTGTCGCCATCTCCCGGGTGCCCGCAGCAACCACTCTGCAAGACATGAGGTCGAGAGGTCCACCTGAGGACAGAGAGAGAAGAGAGGGCACCTGAGTTACTGGGGGAGGCAGACAGTCCTGAATGAGGACTCGGCACATGAACATTCCCAGGAAAACAAAGGTCCCAGGCCAGGCAGAGGCGGGACCAGACAACGAGATCTGGACCGGAGCCTGACTCTAGGCACCTCAGCACCCCTCTGCTGCCCCAGCAAGAGAGCAGTGGAGGCTGTGCTGGGCGAATGTAGGCTCGGGTCTAGCAACAGGGACTAAGGGTCATAGGATCAGTTAGACCCGGTAGGGGAAGGTAGTTCTCAAATGTCTGCTACCTGGGTGGCACCGGGGACCCCATGTGATGGAAGTCCCCATTCGGCAGGTCTAAAGTCTGAGCAGAGACCTGATGCAGGCTGGCTAACAGGTCGTGCTGAGAAAGCTAGAGAATGGATCTAAAAAGATCCACTCAGTCTCAGACCCCCTGTTCCTAAATGTTAGAAGAGGGTTGGCCTGAAGTTCAGCAAGTTATGTGGTGAGTTAATAAGTTATGTAGGGGGGCACCTGGGTGGCTCAGTGGGTTAAGCCTCTGCCTTCGGCTCAGGTCATGATCCCAGGGTCCTGGGATCAAGCCCCACATCAGGCTCTCTGCCCAGCAGGAAGCCTGCTTCCCCCTCTCTTTCTGCCTGCCTCTCTGCCTACTTGTGATCTCTGTCTGTCAAATAAATAATAAATAAAATCTTTAAAAAAAAAAATAAGTTATGTGGGGAGAGATGCTATAGAACTTGCCCCCAGGGGGTTAGTCCCTGAGACACGAGGACCTTGATGTTGAAGAACAGGTCATTTTTTGGGGTCCATTCCCCTAAAACCTCACAGGGTGCTCACACTGTATACCCCGCTGACCCCGTGCTGAGTTACAGGATGTGGGGGGTGCTAGCCTCCTCTTTGTGGAATGGGGAGCATGGCGCTTCTTCTGCCCATCTCATCGAATCTGGTGGGGTCAGGAACAGTTGACTAGGAAACTGTCAAATGTACCCGAGTGTACAGTGGGGATGCTGCTACTATGTGGCCGTATTGTGATCCTGGGGTCTCCTTCCCTGCCTCAAGGCGTAGAGAAGGCAGGCAGGAAAGCCGAGAAGCCACTGGCCCATGGCTTTTCCAACGTCCTCATAGGGTCTCTCACCAACATGCTCTGAGGAACTGGTGGTGGGGGTGGGCATCTGGTCTGGTAGTTACTGGGGCTAATATCGGGAATGCTGGGTCTGGTGGCATCACATGCTTTAGCCTGGGGGACACTGGGTCTGGTGGCATTACTGGGTCTAGTCTCCGCTGTCATTTCCCTGGGGACAGACAGCGGGCGGAGGGTCAGAGGGACTCACCCGAAGTGTCCATCACAATGCCACCCGCTTCTCTAATGATGACTGTGGCTGCGGCCAGGTCCCAGCAGTGCAGGCCAAACTGGTAGTAGGCGTCTGCAGCCCCCGAGGCCAGGTGGCAGAGCGCCAAGGTGGAGCTCCCGATCACTCGGACCCTGGAGGAAAGGGAAGAGGGCAAAGGCTCCTGTGAGTGGTGCTGTGTCCAAGTCGGATTCCTCTTAGATAGCTGACGACATCCAAAGTCACCCCCCCATGGGGCATTCCCAGTCATTAAAAATGAGCCATGGGGATTCTCTAATAAGCTCTAGATTCAAGATCTGGATGCAAACCAGTGACATCCAAGAGAGCTTTCTGCGAGGACAGAAACGCTCCGCACTCTGGAAGTTACTAGCCACTGGTGGCTGATGAGCCCTTGTCGGCTACTGAGACTGAAGAACTCAAGTCTTAATTCCACTAAAATTTCATATTTAAACTTAAATCGCCTCGTGGGAGAGAGTGGGAGATCGGAGCAGAGTCACTTGAGCTTGGATTTATTTTTCCTAAATGTTTGCTAGAGTAATGTCATTTATGAAGGGCTCTAAGCCCAGAAGGACTCACAGCCTGGGGGCCTTAAGATCGGTCACCTGGCTTCTGGAAAAGCCGCTTGGGAAGGAACAAAGGTCCCCCGTGTGTTCCCTAACAGCTGGCCACATGAGGTAGCATCACACGGCTCTCCCAGGTCTATGTGGGGCACGGGTGGGCCTGCTCCCCTCACGGGGGATCTTTTCCTCTCTCCCTGGGGAACTGTGAGCATGACTCTGTGTTTGGCACTTTTGTCTTTGGCCCTGGGGTGTTCCAGGAATTGAAAAGTGATACCCGTGAGCTTTGGCGTGAAGTAACCTCTCCATGTTGCTCAGGAACAATTTCAGGGTGGCAGGGTCACGTCTGGGGCCGATTTCCGTGAGAACCAAGGCCTTGGAGATGTCTGCAGTAGAAAGAATTCCCCGTGGTCAGGAAGACCGAGTCTCGGTTCTGACTGACGAGTCAGGGCTCCCTCGGAAGCAAACCTCAAGAGTCTGCCTCTTCTTCCCACTCAGAACAAATACCATCTGCTGAGAGGTTCAGTTATGAGGTTTCTCCGACAGCTGTGTTGAGACATGAGGACACGGCGACGAGAGGCCAACAGAACCCGCACCTGACTATGTCATCCTCATTCCTGCTTTCGGTTTCAGATTTACGAGGGAGCAGATTTTCAGTTCTCTCTCTTTGCAGGGAGAGTTAGCACTAAAGAGCCAGGGAGAGGTGGGAGGCTAATGAGAATCACCACCATCCAGTCATGAATAAAAACAAAATGACTCCAAACTGGGACCACCCGATGTCTGGAAGACAGAAAAGAAAAAAGCCTCACCCAATACATCCGTCTTTAATAACCTTTCTCTAGGGGTGCTGCCTGAGTGGCGCAGTGGGTTAAGTTTCCTACTCTTGTTTTCGACTCAGGTCTGATCTCGGGGTTGTGAGATCAAGCCCTGTGTCGGGCTCCATACTCAGTGCGGAGTCTGCTTGGGTTTCTCTCTCCCTCTCCCTTTGACTCTCTCTCTCTCTCTCTCCCTCAAATAAATAAATAAAACTTAAAAACAGAAAAACCTTTCTCTAACTGCTACGATCATGAAGACAGAAACACCAACCCTGCAGAGAAAGAAACTTTTAAATGACGACTTTGGAAAGGGAGTTCTCAGGCGTAACCCCACTGGGCGTAAAGAAGGCCAACACCGTGGCCGTGTGGTCTCCTCAGTGCAGGGTGGCTGGGCACTCAGGCCAAGCACTCGGTTCCGAGACAGGAGCGGGAAGCTGGCCTGAGGGCACAGAGGGATGTGCCTGGGCTCCCTTCCTGGGCCTGACTCACGGGCAGGCAATCACGAGCAGTTTGTCTGTGCTTTGCCATACTCCCAAACACAACCACATTTAGTCTGTCGTGTCTGGTCAGGCCTTCTGGCTCACAGTCAGCCACATCGACGTATCCAGATAACAGAACAAGGTCACTCCACGAACTGGAGGGAAAACACACTCCACCAGTTATGTCTCTCAATGGGTCTAATCCTATGTCGGCATCTGCAAAGTCCCTCACTGCAGGACCAGATGACGGTGAGGGGGCCCCCTCCTCTCAGACAGAACCTATATCCATTTCCCCTTTTCTTAAATTGTAGGCTCTCATTGTCTACTTTCTGAAAATCACTCGGCTCCACACCGGTTACCTGCCTAGGAGACAAGGTCTGAATCACTCCCTGCCAGGCACGCCAGCACCAAGGCTGAGCTAATGACATACCTCCCATGTGTCCAGTGTGTGAGTAAGGGGCTCTGCCCACGGGGGGCCATGGGGCCGGGTGGCTCCAGGATCCCCAGGGGCAGGTCACTGCCCGAGTTTAACTCCTAATTCTCTCTCTGGGCTGCAAACTGAAAAGGTTATTTTCCCCAGGGGAGGGAAAGAAGACCTCTTTTGAAGAAAACGACATCAGGGGTGCCTGGGTGACTCAGTCATTAAGCGCCTACCTTCGGCTCAGGTCATGATCCCAGGATCCTGGGATTGAGCCCCGCATCGGGCTCCCTGCTCTGCGGGAAGCCTGCTTCTCCCTCTCCCACTCCCCCTGTTTGTGTTCTCTCTGTCTCTGTCTCTGTCTCTCTCGAGCGCGCACTTGCTATCAAATAAATAAATAAATAAATAAATAAATAAATAAATAAATAAATACATCTTTAAAAAAAAAAAAAAAAGGGCACAAAAAACGACATCAACAGAACCAGGGGCAGTAAGCGCTTAATAAGTAGTCACTGAAGCAACAAACACTTCCTTTCCTTCAGGCACCAGCATTAAAGAAACCCTGGTCAGAGTCTTCTTGTATGGGTTGATTTGTTAAATTAGTAGAATTTTTAAATTTATGAGAGGAACATTGGAGTTAAGTAGAATTTGGCTGGCTGGTGTAAGAATCTAATTAATCACTAGAGATAACACTATTTTGGTGGGGGGGTTGGTGAATTCTGAATGATAAATGTTTTCATTAAAAACATTCTTGAAAGAGAACCTGGGGCACCTGGGTGGCTCAGTGGGTTAAACCTCTGCCTTCAGCTCGGGTCATGATCTCCGGGTCCTGGGATCGAGCCCCACATCCGGCTCTCTGCTCAGCAGGGAGCCTGCTCCACCCCCCCTCCCCGCCTCTCTGCCTACTTGTGATCTCTCTGTTAAATAAATCAATAAAATATAAAAAAGAAAGAAAGAAAGAGAACCTACTGAAATTTGGGGAGTGACTGTTAAATGAGAAAGGATAAACCTTCCTGGAGGAGGCCGAGGAGGGAAACAGAAGTGGAATTTGAGAGTATGCATATTTTAGATTTTGATTATTCTTTTTTCCCAAATGGTTCCCCTCCCCCAAGCTGTATCAGTAGGACCACTGTCCCCTCCCCAGTAAGGTACGGTTCTGTACTATTTTCAAGACCCTAAGAGTATCCCTTACTCTGTGATATATGTTTCAGGAGTGATTTTTTTTTTCTTAATTTAAATTTTGTTTTTTTATAAACATATATTTTTATCCCCAGGGGTACAGGTCTGTGAATCGCCAGGTTTACACACTTCACAGCACTCACCATAGCACATACCCTCCCCAGTGTCCATAACCCCACCCCTCCCTCCCAACCCCCCTCCCCCCAGCAACCCTCAGTTTGTTTTGTGAGATTAAGAGTCACTTATGGTTTGTCTCCCTCCCAATCCCATCTTGTTTCATTTACTCTTCTCCTACCATCTTAACCCCTCATGTTGCATCTCCTCTGCCTCATATCAGGGAGATCATATGATAGTTGTCTTTCTCCGATTGACTTATTTCGCTAAACATGATACCCTCTAGTTCAGGAGTGATTTTTCTCAGAAAGCTAAGATCAGGAGAATAATCCCTACATACAAGGCATTTCCTGGCTCCAGGATCTCAGTCACCCTGGCGGAGGAAATTAAGGAACACACTGACAATTTCCTTCCAGGAACTAGAAAGCCTAACAATTTCGATAGGGAGATAAACACCTACTTTTAATCAGGTTCGGAAGACGTGACTACTGGGATATTATCTACACTACTGTGATGATTATTTTGCAATATATACACATGCTGAATCATGATGCTGTACACCCGAAACTACATAATGCTATACAGCAATTATACCTCATTAAAAAAATGTGACTACTGGCTCGGGCCAAGGCCTAGCCCAATCTGTCCTTATCAGAGGGCTGGGCTGGCTGCAGGGCGAGTGGACAGCAAAGTCCCAGAGGGCCAGCCCAGACAAGCAGATCCCCCTACACACAGGGCCGCTGCAGGAAGAGCAGAGGGTTTCAGACTAAGTGACACAAGGCTATTTCACAAAGGGAAACTCAGCAAAGTGTGGAAACAGAAGCTCACATTTACCAAGCTCTTGGTCTCTCCAGACAGGCCAGTGCTAAGCACTTACTACTTACGCCTCCATTCCTCTATCTCTTTTCTCTGTTACATCTATGATACATTGATGATTCCATTTCTCTTTTTTCTTCACTATTGCACTGCCCTTGTTTCACAGATGGAGGAACCAAGCCTACAGAAGTGACACTTCTATAGGGGGTCATGTGGCACTTAGGTGCTGAGACCCAGACTTAACCTCCAGCTTGTCCAGTGATTATGTGAAAGTGTTTCTTCCCATAGCTTGTAGATTTGTGAAGAAATATCTCTGTATCCAGTTCTTTCCTCTCCTTCTAGCGGCAATGCATCCATTCTTTATCTCTCTGGTTAGTATCTTTTTTCCAAATGCAATCAAAAACAAGGAAAAAGGAAGCCTGAGTGCTGCCACCTACAGACCAAATGCTTTCTTTGGTTTTATTTTGCTGTAGATAAAACAATATTTAACATCATCTTATGATTATTTCTAGCTACCAATAATCACTGATTTTTGCATTTTGTTATCCTTTATACTGTATTTACCATAATACTTTAGCTCAATCAAATGCTAACGTATATATGTATTTCTTAAAGATTTATTTTAAACACAGAGAGCGAGAGAGATAGAGAGAGAGCAAGCAGAGGGAGGGACAGAGGGAGAGGGAAAGAATCCCAAGCAGACCCCTCGCTGAGAACAGAGCTGATGCGGGGCAATCCCAGAATGCTGAGACCATGACCTGAGCTGAAATTAAGAGTCAGATGCTCAACCCACTGAGCCACCCAAGCACTCCCCTACAGTGTATATATTGTTTAATTTAAAATATTCTCTGACTTCATGGATGTGTGTGTGTGTGTGTGTAGGGGATGGGGAGTTATTGCTTAATGGGTACACGGTTTCATTTGGAGAGATAAAAATTTTGGAAACAGATGGTGGTAATGGTTGGAAAACACTGTAAATGTAATGAATGCCACTAAATTACACATTTTAAGTGGCAAATTTTATGTTATATATATTTTGCCACACACACATACAAAATCCAAAAATTTTGAAGTAGGGCATCTCCGCATACTTTTTCAACAAACAGATTCTAGAATGAAAAAAAAATATCATCCATTAATAGACTTCCAACAGTTTGAAAACCCTTGTTCTGGTTGAGCAAGGTTAAAACACCCCAAGTATCAAGGAGTAATGCTCTCTCAAGAGAAATTTTACAACTTAAAGGTAAGAGAAGCAGTCATCTGTAGACACTGAAACATGTACTCATGGAAAAGGAGTCAATCGTGCTTTCACATCTGGGAAACATCCCCTATGGACACATATGGACTCTGCTGAATACACAGCCCCCATCCCCCCGACGCCACTTACACTAGTGTATATTTTCACACACGTGTCCTAACTCTTTCAGTCTTCTTATAGACCATGAGCACCTACTCATACGAAAACAAAATTTAATTCTCTTTAACTTAAAAGCATAAGTTACAGGAAAAAAACACAAGTACTAGACAGATGGAAGATTGGTGGTTTGGCAGGGGGCTGGGGAGAG